CTCAAAGGTAATTACCCCCAAAACCCCAAAACCCCAGAGGGAGCAAGGAGATGCAAACGGATAGTTGTTTGAAATTTAGTTAATTAATTTAAGAATACATTTAATGTCGTTTTTCGATTCTAGTTCAAGATTTCAGTCTAATAAATCTGGTAATACACTATCTAACTAACTTGCTAAAGCTTTAGGAAATCCTTCAGTTGCCACTTATAACATTACAATCCCAGTGTAGTCGAAGAATCCATCTATATCTTCAAAGCATTAATCACCGAATTTCACTTAAGATTATAGAGTTTAACCTGCTTAAGGGACATATAATCATGATAAAATGAGCAATAAAAGACTTTCAGCTGAGCCACTCACTATTGAAGAACTTTAAAAAAGACTCAATGTAAAAAGCACTCAAATGAAAAGACCTTCTTCTAGAACTTCATTAGTTACCTCCCCTACTTCTTACTTGTAATAAACCTAGGAAATTTAGACTACTAAGTAGTGTCTAGATGGCTGCTAAATTGATCGTGATGTAGGTAGTCTGAGGAATGATGGTCATGACAGTAGAAGAGGGGTAGAAGATGAAAATGAAATGAGCAATTTAGGTGCATGCCAAGAATGTTTTCAAGAGACTCTCAGTAGAATCTAAAGTGAAAGAATGATTATCACCAGAGAAATTAACTTGAATATCAAGAATATAAAGCAAAAGGAAAATATCAAAACTTAGCTAATTGAAAAAAGTAATGTTTTAAATCTATTTATACCTTTTTATAGATTAAAAGAAAATTCTAATGCGAAGAAATAGCTAAGATTAACTAGGTTCAGCTACTGAAAGGTCTCTAAATAGTACCTGCAATTCAAACAAAAGTTTCAACATTATGGATCAGCAATATTTCAAAAAGTTAATAAAGAATATATCCCTTAAAGAATCAATAATTTTCTAATAATAGCTGACCCAATAATCTATTATTACTCAATAGCAAGCTTAAAATTTAAATCCCTCTGATAACCTTGAACGAAAGCCAGCAATTATTCAAACTAAAAAAACCATCAGATAGCCTATTGTTACATAGATAAATCTGCCTATTAAACCTAAAACTAGCCTTAACTCACCACTATAAGAAAAAAAGTAGAAGTAAAACCTAACTTCTAGATGCCAAGTTGATGGAATAACTATAAAACAATCTTCTTTTAATAAGGAAGATGAAAAGTCTAATAAAAGCCATGAAAAATCTAAAAGTATCATAGTTATTGACCAAACTCAAAATATTACACTTTAAAGTAATAGTGGTAGTGGAGCTTCAATTATTGAAGAAGCCAAAAACTTTGGAAAAATAAATAAACCTAATGGAAAAAATAAAAATAGAAATTAAAGATTGAGTATGGGAGAGTTAAGTAGAGGTGGAGGAAATTCAGTTGTGTAGAGCTATAAGTAGGCAGGAAATTCATAGTCAAATATTGGATCAAAGAGCTCAAGAACTCACTTGCAAACTTAGAGATAGAGATAAGAAAATATTAAGTAAAAAAATAAGCAAAATTTACCTAGCAATCAAAGTTCTTCTATAATGACTACGATGGAGACCACAATGAGAACTATGAGCACTTTAAATAAAAGTTAATCTTAGGTTTAAATTTAAGTTCAGAAAAATTAAAAGGAAAATCAGAATCCAAAAGCAGGACTTAAGTAATCTATCGTTATGCCAAAGATGGGAAGCTAGAATCAGAATTAGCCTATATAAGTCAGTAACAGACATATCAGGACTAAATCAGGAATAGTACTATCAAGTGTTCATATCGATTCTAATATAGAGTCAGAAGGAAACAAGACCAAAGATTCAATTCAAACGAATCTCTATGAGAAAATATATAAAAAATTAGATAGTGCATAAAATAATACAATAAGCACCATTAATAATATTGATACTACAAAAAAGAAGATTATTTAAATAGAGACTAACTACATCTAACAAAATGACGAAAATGATTTAATATACTAAAATGATTCTTTAAATTTGCTATCTAACAGAAGTAACTTTGATAATGAAAACTAGAGAGACTTCCTATCTAATTACAGTCAGGTAAATCTGAACACATCAGATCAAATAATTCAGTAGTCATTTAACATGATAAATTAGGATTTGTAGCAGTATTCTAGTTCTATATTAGAGAGCCAAAGTCCGATCTACAATAATTCATAATAAGAGGAAATTTCCAATCAATTGAAGGAAAGATTAATTAAGGGACTTGAAAGTTGTTACATTTGTCTTACAGATGAAGATGAGCAGGCTATTGCTTCATTAAGAGATATCGAAAAGGAATCTGACAAAAGTAAAATTCAGACAAGAAATAACAAGGATTCATATCTATATGATGAAGAAATTCATACTTGTTCAAGTGATGAGTAGCTGAAGACTGGTGAAGTCACCTTGGAAAACCCTTAATTTAACATGACATAAAATATTTCAAAGCTATCTGGATCTGATTAGGAACACGAGAATAACATGAAGAGAGAGTTGTATCAATTTGTAAAACATCCTGTAGTAATGCCTATGATAAGTAAGCAGGATTGTAATAGACTGTATGGACCAGGAAGTTTTTATTATCAGCCCTTTAACAATATAAGTAACATTAGAGAGACTGAATAGGAGGATGATTACTCGGTTGAATATGTTTGAACATATAGACTGTTAATAGTTGGATGATATATATTTATTAAAATAAGTAGAATTAGCTAAATTAATAATACTTCACATCAAATTCTATACCTATATAAGTTTTAGCATGATAATTCTTTCATTATTTGACGATTCCTTTTGAATTATTGTTGATGTCCTTATTCATTCTTACAGCACCTTAAAGGATTATGCACTCAAGCAGAAATGGGAAAAGTCCAAAAAATCCCCAAAGTGGCCAAATATAAGTAAATCTCCAATTGTCTAGGATGAACCAAGTAGTGAAGAGGCAACCCAAAAAGTGCAGGAATATTTGAACGATGTTTATATTATTGAATAGTAAGCTGATTCCAAGAACCATAACCAGGAATTCAAAGCCCATACAGAATAAATAAGCTATTGTTACTCCAACTAAAATTTTCTCTGCTGTCATGTATTCATCTGAGGTATCAGAGTAATTAAATCCAATACCCCAATATATATGATCAGTGCTTTGTTAAATAACCAAGGCTAAAAGAAGTACTTGAATCAATATTAAGGTGAATTTAGCAGGCATCAAGTATGATGGAGCCTCTATCAGAAGTGATGACATTTTAAAATTTGAATTTTATAATTAGATTAATTACAATTTTTAAGATCAAAATATTAAGTTGAATTAAAGATACTCTATAAAACCAAAAAATAATGCATTATATATACTTATTTGAGGCTATTCTTAGCATCAAGCTGAATAGAATTTGACTCTAGAATACTTTTTATATTTAAGGATTGGTGTCTTAAAATCATCAATCAAATTCAGAGAAGATTGTGATGTTTTGAACAATACATTTGTTGATGCTTGTGACATTGGCTAGCTTTTGATTTTTACTTCTTACTTCTATATATATTTCTGCTCGTTTGGTCTTTCAGTTTCTAGATCTTTTACAGCAAGAGGTATTTACTATTTGTATCTTAAAAACCAGATGGGTGTCTATAATATTCCCTAATCAATAACTTTTTACAGCAGCTTATTGTTTTATCTTTTATAATCTACATATTGCCTAAATCTATAAGTTTTTTAATATGATTACTTTGAGATATTCCTTATTTGAATAAAAAATACGACAACTCCCACTATTCTGTAATACTTTTAGTACGAAAGTCTATGATGCTCATCAATATACTCATCTGATACTCTCTCAATAATCAATTAGCAAGCACATAAGAAAAGTAGTCTTTATTTCGCCTCTAAAAATCTTTTAAATTAAGTTAGAATCCAAATGATAATAACTTTGGCAGAGTAATACACAAATCTATCCATGTCTCTGAAATATTTGACAATCATTGATTAGAATTGAATAATGAGCTCTATCTTTTCTCCAACACTTTAAAAAAATTAGTTGAGTTTAGATTAATTTTCATAGATTGAGGTCTCTAAAACTCCAAATCCATCTTAAAGACTTTTTTGCAATGCTAGCTGCTTTTCAACTTGGTTATTAGTCTCTTCAGTTAATGCAAAAGTTCTTACAATGTTCTAGCTCATCGATTCCTGGCCATTGAGAATATGCAAACTAAAGAAATAAAAGTAAAATACTTACAGTTTTTACTCTGCCGTGATTGATGCTTAATTCAAATTATCAATGAGACTTTTAGTGTTATCTTGCCATACTTCTTGCTTGAGGTAGTAGCAAGTTTATTAAGCATGAGTAAAAAAGAGAGTATAGGAGTTCCATAATTCGTTTTCAAGTGTAGAAATACACTAAGATGCATTCATTGAGTCACAGTAATGAGGTCTCTTTCCAGAAATCTGTAGATGACAATTCATCATTTGATAGGCAATCTATTATAATATTAGTGAGAGAAGAATATACAATTGATTATTAAATTTCATTCAAACTCAAACAATTTTCAGTGAGTTAAGTTACTGTATTTCTCATGCAATTATTTGATCTAGATACCTTCATCAGGAAGTTATAACTTTCTGTAAAGTTGATTAATATAAATTACCTTTAGTCTCTTGTATCTATTGATCATCAAGTAGGCAATAAGCATTATTAAAGGTACATATTATCAGGATTGCGATTACTTGCAATATCATGTGTAAGCTTCAAGTTAAGTTAATTAATTATAATGAGATTATCAAAGTGCATTATTTAAATTAATTAACCTATTAATAAATCATTCATCAATTCCTACTCGAACCTTGTTCAAGGACATTTTCTTTCAATCATTATTGAACCATGCTCTTCATATTCTTGCCTGCTCATCCACATTTGTTAGAAAGACCCAAGAGAACTAAGAATAGATCCACCAACCCAAGGGGAAAACTTCCTTTCATTACTGCTAATAACCTTTACCTTGACATTTTGAGGCGATATCTCAGGAATCTATCTTTAAAGTCTTTCCAGGAATCCTTTGAAAAGTGTGTTACCTCCTGATAAGATCACATTCTAGAATAAATCTCTTCTGATATCAATATCTGATTTTCCTATTGACTCTACAATCATATGTTGAATGCCAGTGAATCCAGGTAATTTCTCATTAGGGACAAACATTTTCTCGGTAAAAGACACCCTCTCACCTTGAAGGTTAATTGACTGCCCGTCTGGCAATTCATAATTTAGACCTTTAATTGTTTCTAAACTTCTATCATCTATTTAGTCTTCGCTTACATAAAACATTTCCTCCTTCAGTTCTCTCACTACCTCATCCTTGGCCCAGTTTAAATATGATGGATGAACTCCATCAATATCTAACCTGGAGACTTCAAAGTTTTCGACCCCATTGATGTTTTAAAACTTCTTCTTAAAGCCAAATCTTGGTATCACTTCAATTTTTCTATCATTTTCAAGCCAAGTTCTTAGGTCGCTTGTTAGTTATTGCCCTCCAATATCGTATTTAATAATGCATTTTTACAGTGCATATCCATCATGTACAGGAGTAGCATAAGTAGTCTTACTACCTGAATCTACAATGATAGCTGTAGATCTTCCGCATGCAAAAGAAGCAAGCACTGGTGCTTTACAAATAAATATAGCTGGGACTTAATACTTCTCAAACATGAATTCTGTCAACTTTATTCTAGCTTCTTTATTATGCAAGGCTTGCTCAGTGAATAGTAAAGGAGTCTCCTTAGGATTTATCATTAGATTGTCTATTAAACTTTTGTTCAAAATGTCCTCAATAAAATCGAAATTCACTAAAATAAGATAAGTTAAAATATGTCATCTTGATATCTATTCATACATATTCCCTAATCTGAGAATAATGGTTGAATTTCCATATTATCTCTCTTGTAATTCAACTCAGCTGACCCTACGACTAATCTTTTTGATGATCTTGATTTGTTTTCACCTTCAGCATCAACCATTTCAACATCCTAGTCTCCATTAGCTAAAATGCCGGCATACTATAATGTTTTACAATAAATGATAGCTTACTGATGGGATCACACTTCGAGGACAATCTTCTCCAGAATACCCTATTAAATATGTAAATAACATGCATTTAAATACCTGCTCTTGTCTGATATGAACCAATATCGATTACACAACTTGACACGTCGTCTATAGATTGATTATATTATTTGCGCGTATTAGCTTACCTCCACAATACATTTTATATGCTAATATATAATTAATTTAATAAAAATCAAAGTTAATTCCCCTATATTCCGATCAATTTTGTTTTCCGGGGTTTTGGGGTTTTGGGGTTTTGGGGTTTTGGGG